AAGAATTTTATTATGAAAATAATTGGATATCTGCAATCATTTATAATTTCCAAAAAAAATTCAATTATTATCTAAAATTATAATTGAAATTAATTTTTAAATAAATTTTTTTTAGGAAATTCTACGAGAATTAATTTATTTAAATACAAAAATAATGATTTATTAAATAATTGAACTGGTTGAACGATTTTTAATAGAGTTTTTTTTAAGAATAATTGAATTTTTTTGAGTAATTCAATTACAATTGTACTGAAAATAATTGAAATTCTGAGATGAGTTTTATTATTTTTGAAAATAATTGAATTACTCAGAATAATTTTTTTATTTATGAAAATAATTAAATCCCTGATAAGAATTTTAATATTTATGAAAGTAATGGAATTAAGAAAACTTTTTGGAAAGAATTGAAATTTTGCCAAGAATTTGATTAAAATTTTGGGAAATAATTGAATTTCAGAGAAGAATTTTATAATTTATAAAGTATTTAATTATTTTAAAATTATTAATAACTTAATTTTTTTGAAACAAAAAATTTTCCCAATTTCTTCGGAAAAAGAAATAAGAGAGAGAGAGAGAAAATGACTACTATTTTCCTATTGCCAATATCTGAGAAGAAGATGCGTAAACATTGGGTCATTTATGAAGACACGTGCGGTGTAATAAACACTTGAAAATATCTTCACGTATGTGTACAACTTAATGATGTGATACGTACATTGGATTCTTGAATTAGAATTAGGTATATTTTACAACTTTGCTTTCTCCATATACGACACACGTGTAAAATGAAAATGTTATTTTTCTTCTCTCTCATTTTACCATTACAGTTATTCATAACATAATTTTTGCATTACGATAATTCAATTTTTCATTAGCACCTCACTAAAAAACCTGTAAAATTATCTTTCGTCATTTTTTTTTCCTTTGATGACCAAAAAAAAAAAAATGAAATCTCTAATCCTTTTAAGTACTTATTACTAATATCTAAATTTAGCAAAAAAATGGAATTTTAAATTACATTAATTCCAGAAATTGTAAATTAATTTAACTGCGACTTATTCATTTATTTAGAATCTATTAGTTCATTTAGAATTTATTAATTTATTTATTTGTTTAAAATTTATTTATTTATTTAAAATTTATTAATTTATTTAAAAATTATTTACTTAAAATGTATTAATTTATTTAAAATTTATTTATTTAGAATCTATAAATTAACTTATTCAGTACATATTCATTATATTATTAAAAAAAATACTTTCTTCTAAAATTAAGATTATTTTTTTTTACAATAAAAACGAAGGAATTTGTGAAAGGAAAGAAATTTTGCAGTCGTACTTTACTTTTTTCTATGGGCACACCTTTGACCTATTTAGCAAGTGTCATTCAGCAAATCAGCGGCAATTGAAGAAAATGGAGATCGAATTAAAAAAGTGCAGTTATTTATATTTTTCATGATAATTATAGTAACCATTATAGTTGCTACGGTAATGGTTATTGTAGCAACCGTCGTCAGGCTGTCGATTCTACAGCAACTGTTACCATGGAAACCGTTGCTGTAGGAACCGTTTCTATAGCAACCGTTGCTATGGAACAAGTATCTATAGTCACTGCAGACTTCGCACTCGTTAATTAATTTTAAAAAAGTATCAAAAAATATCTTTTAAACTAAAAAAGTAGTAAAAAAGTAGCTATCGAAAAATTAAACTTGACGACCAAAAAAATTCATTTTCCGAATTTTCATCGAAAATAATTACTCTTCTTTCTTATCCTGCTAATAAATTGAATTGCCGCAACAAATTTTATTATTCATGAAAGAATTTAAATATTTATAAAAATAATTTAATTCTTGCGAAGAATTTTATAAAATTTTCTGAATAATTGAATTCTTGTGAAAAATTTTAATATTTTTTTTGTAAATAATTAAATACTTTCCAAGAATTTTAAAAAAACATTTTTTTAAATAATTGATTTTTTCGAGGAATTGAAATTGAATTTTTTTAAAATAATTACATTTTTTGATCAATTCCTGTAAAATTGTATTAACAATAATTGAAATTCGAGGATGAATTCTATTATTTATAAAAAGAATTGAATTTTTGTAAAATGTTTTGTTATTTTTGAAAATAGTTGAATTTTGCAAAGAATTTTACTAAAATGCCTCAAAATTATTTGATTTTTCGGGAATAATTTTGTTATTTATCGAAATAGTTAAAATCTTTCGAAGAATTATTTATGTAAATAAATAATTGAATTCTTGGGAAAAAATTTATTAAAATCTAAAAGAATAATTGAATTACTTAAAAACAATTTAATTAAAATTGCATTTAAATAATTCATTTCTAACGAACAATTTTATTAAAATATTAGAAAATAATTGAATTCTTCCAGAGAATATAAGAACAATATTTTTTTAAATAATTGCCTTTTTCGAGGAATTGAAATTAAAATTTTAAGAATAATTACATTTTTTCAGTAAATCGTGTAAAATTTGAATTATTAAAATAATTGAATAGTTGCTAAGAATTTTATTAAAATTTTCAAAAATAATTGAAATTCGGCGATGAATTTAATTATGTATAAAAATAATTGAACAACTGTTAAGAATTTTATTAAAATGTTTAAAAAGAATTGAATTTCCGTAAAATGTTTTGTTATTTTAGAAACTAGTTGAATTATTGCGAAAAATTTTATTAAAATGTCTCAAAATAATTGAATTTTCGATAATAATTTTGTTATTTATCGACATAATACAATTATTTCGAAGAATTATTTATATAAATAATTGAATTATTGGGAAGAATTTTAAATTAAAACTAAAAGAATAATCGAATTATTTAAAAAAAATTTAATTAAAATTATATTTTAAATAATTAATTTTTTTCGAACAATTTTATTAAAATATTTGAAAATAATTGAAATTCTGCGATGGATTTTATTATTTATAAATGTAATTTAATTCTTGTGAAGAATTTTATAAAATTTTCTAAATAATTGACTTCTTTCGACTAATTTTATGCAAATTCTTTTGAATTCCTAGGAAATTCTTATTATTCATTAAAAGAATTGAATTCTTACGAAGATTTTTACAAAAAATTTTTTAAATAATTGAATTCTGTTTGTTTCTATTAAATTTTTTGACAATAATTAATTGTCTGTGTGGTGTTTTATTAAATTTTTTTTTAAATAATTGAATTTCTAAAAAACATTTTATTATAATTATGAAAATAATTGAAATCTTGCGAACGATTTTTTTTAGAATTTTTTAAAATAATTCTAAAAAAACAGAAATAGTTGCTTTTAATGGGTGAAATCTAAAAAAAGTACCCAAAAACAGTAGCATAATGTAAAAAAAAATAGTAAATAGTAAGTTTTGGTAGATAAGTGCGAAGTATCTTTTACACCCAAAAAGAAGATTTTCGGTTGTTTCTATTTCTAATAAATAATTTTATTCAAAAAAAAAACATAAAAGATCAACACAAAAATTGCATTTCTCAATTATTCCTTTCCATTTCCCTAATAGTTAACTTTCGGCTCGACTTTCGGAAAAAGAATCCTTCTTCTAATTGAATTTAACGAGAGTCTCAACCCTTCATTATTTTCCCCAATGCCCTTTAAAAGCGGTTTCTTTCCAAGTGACCTTGAAATTTATGAGTAGCATTTTTTTTCCGCTAAACGAGTGTAATTGCCGATCGAAGTCAACGATAACTCGTTTCTAATCGGCGTGACTCGCTTCCAACCGACCAATGTCATTCTCTTTAATGAATCTATCAATTACTGGTTTCCTTTTCTTCTTCTTCCTTTTCTTCTTTCTAAACTTGTTATTTGACTTGTATTTATTTTCAATTTCGGTGTTTTCAATGAAACGCATAATTTTTCTGACGAACTGTCCACTTAAAGAGTTTGAAAGATTCGAGAAACGTCATTCATCAGTAATTCAGTATATAATATACAAGTTCATCGCTCGCCACGAGACATCTAACCATTTGTTACGTACTCAACGAATCGTAAATCGTTCTCAGCCTCTCTCGCAATATCTATACACCATTCACTCCACTCATTTATTCCCTCAAAGCTACTGTTTCACGCACCAGTTTAAATTTATTCAACATCACTTTAATTAAAGGCAATACACACTATATAATCTCGTATGTGCATGTGTTCTGCTTTTGGCAAAATTAAGTTGTTCCTGACCTCACAGAAAAAAGAGGGAGTAAAAAGTTATAATGGTAATGGGTAAAACTCGTTGGGGTACAGGGTAGAGGGTAAAATTGTGAGGGTAAAATTGTTACCAGAATTTCCCTAGAAAAATGTCCGTGATTGTTGATATTATTTGATTAAAATGATGATAATTAAACACTGGTTGCATAAATTTAAATTTGAAATATGCACAATAAAAATAAGACACTACTGCACAGGTATAAATATTAACAATCTTGTCAATTTATATAATTTTAATCATTTTAACAATTCACATGACACTTGTAAAGAAACAGGCTTCGGAAAGCAAGATTTAATTCTCGAAATGAAACAGCAGAGTTGGGTAGGATAGCTATTGGACTAAAAAAATAATCACTCTGGAAATTTGAACTAGTTAAAAAGAATTAAATTAAGTATTAAAAAATTAGTTACTAATGATGAATTAATAATGTTTTTTTTACTAAAAATCTAGTGGAAAATAACTAATCATTAGTTAAATTTCATTTTCAGGTTATGTCGAATAACTATATAATTTTTAGTATAAATATACTAATTTTTTATTTATTTTTGAAGTAATAATTATTTTTTTTACCCATTATTAGTTATTTTTTCACTAATTGCTAATATAAAATTGAGCAATGAATTGATTAATAATAATGAGTCTATTTTTATCTAACATTTTCTTTTTGTTTATTTTATAAAAATTACAAAATTAATTAATTTTTTAATTTGTAATTTTTGAGGTTATGGCTGTATTTTGCATTGTTTCGTTTAAATTGTATCTGTAGGTTATTATTTTATTTAAATGTAATTTATACATATGTGAAATACTTGAATTTTTTTTACGTATTCTGATTAAATAATTATATTAATATATTTTTTTAGTAATATTTATAGCTAATGCATTTTATATTGACTTATAAACATTTTTACAATAAAATATTAGTTTTTCAGTCCCAGATAGATTTGGTAAACAACAATATTGTGTAAGCACCTTCAGTTACCGATTGTCAATTTTAGTTCTTGATACGGATGTATGGCGGCGTTTTTAATTGCGTTTTAGTGTGATAGACACGTGTCTACAAAAACTTTTACGCTTATGTTTGCAATGTTTATTTTTACAAAAACAAAATGTCACATTTATTTCTGAGTTTGACACTGCAGACGTTTAAATTATTTAAGAATTAATATCGATAATTGCAGGTAACTTAAGAACCATTAGAACTGTTTTCATGTTTAAAAAGGTAAATGTTCAGGTCACTTGAGGTATGTATAAAAACATTACCAATTTTTTGTGTGTTTATGATTATAGGTTACAGTAGGTTAAAAAGTTTGATAATTTATTTACGAACTACTTCTCATACAAATTATTAAGAATGTTATTTTTTATTTCCGATATTTTTTATTCATTATTCATTTTTATTGCACTGTAAAATATACCTTCATATATTATTACAATTCGGATTTATATACTCTTGTATACTGTTGTAGGTAAATTATTCGACCGCATTCATGGATGGCGTCGTCCTTACTTGGAAAATAGAGCTGCTTCACGTACTTAAAATATTTTTGCAAGAGTTACTATATAGAATACCAAAAATCAAATACTAATTGGACACACCAAAAAATAAAAATGAAACAATTATCTCTATTTGTATTCTTTGTTCTTCCTAAAATCCTAAAGTAATAAAATACAGAGTTAAATTAGATAAAGTTTTCTAAAATTTTGTGGCATAGGGTAGATGCACAGGTATTGACCAAGGCACCGGTTTTGGCCAACCACACACTTTTATTAATTTTTCTAGTTTTCGGTTCTATTTACTATTTATTTTTTGATAAAAAGTCATTTTACAATTAATGTTCTTAAAAGATGTATTCAATGTTCATAATAATCATATTTATTATTCATGAAAATGGGGTGGCCAAAACTAACAAAATTGACATTTTTATATATTTATTAATTTATTATATTATTATTTTTTTAACCTTTAAAGACAAGAAATTCTGAAACTAAGAATTATAATTAATCTATTAACAACTGTCAGCCACTCATTTTTTATAATTAACATAATAAAAGGTGTCTTGAAAATGAGGAATTCCTTAAAGTGGCCAAAACTGGTGCATCTACTCTAATCGATTTTGAAAACTTATTTCAAATTTTAATTCAGTAACCTTAAAGACATCCGGGAAACGTAAAATTAGCATACACAATTCGCGACTTTGAATTTTGGAAAATTTTTTTTCGGTTGTTTGAGACAGGCAAGTCATTTTCCTGAATTTTTGCTGCGATAAATCTGAATCTGATAACAAAAATCTCCCATCACGTCAGGATTTTGAGAAATATGTGGATGTAAAACTCCTAAAAAATACGCTTCTGTCAATTGTTGAAATTTTCTACCGGGTAAATCTGACGTGATAATGACAAATAAAACCTTGAACTCTGTACTTTACAAAGATTTGGCGATATCGAAAAAACATACTAAATTAATGCTTGTTTCATTTCCAATATGTCAAACTAAAGTAACTGTTACTTTAGTTTCGGGGTTGCTGAATACGAATATAAAATCAGATTTTAAAAATTAAAAATGACGGATCCAATATGGTGGATTGAAACTTTAAAAATGAATTTTTTATATAAAATAGGAACTGTAAATTTCTTCGTTCTGGTGGTCGTTAATAGATTAAATGCAATTATTCGTTTGAATTTAAAAAAAATGTATTCGACTTGTTTTCTCTGATTACCTTTCGATTCATTTCGTAATATCTTTTATTGGAGGAAAGGAAAGTAAATATGTTTTTGGATGAAATTTTTAGAACTTATATTTTCTTTTTGAAATATTTATTTTACACAATTATTAATATTCGTCGCACATTAGATATAAAAAATATTTTAAGAAGTGCAAACGTATATGCATTGAAAACAAGTATTAAGGAAATAAATTTATAGAGACCTGAACTGTATTATGCTTTTTATCACGATTTATGTTATCGAAGATTTCGCCCGTTTATTATGCAATTATGTTCATAAAAATATTCACTTATGCTTAGTATTAGAGTTTTTACTTACATTAAATATTGTTTAATGTAGTTACCTAATTTAAAATTTTTAATTTATTTTTAGAAAATATTAAAATATTTAAATTTTTTAGATAACACTGAATATATTACAAAATTAAATAAATAACACTTAAAGTATTTAAAATATCACTTCACAATATTCAAATTCAAACATTGTAATTAAGAAAAAATGTTCTCTTTCTTATTACATATATTAAAGCTATTTTAATACTGTAAGAAGTTTTTAATATTTTGTAAATAGCTATGTAGCATTAACTACTTGTCTCTATATATTTATTGTTCAGATGATGCAGATGGCAGTAAATTACATTGTTTTAAAGCATTTGTCAATGTTATTTTCGTTAAAATGCTTTTATCAATTTCTTTTGTTGCCACGTCTCTCAAGACAGCAATTGCAATGAAAGAAAATTGCTGCTTAGCATCTGGTGGAAAATTGATTTGGAAAACCCAATATACAGCGAGCAATAACAGCAAGGCTCTGAGGCCTTTCGCTTCAAAAATTGGCTGTCCGTCACTGTAGCATATTGTATGTAGATCGTCTAATGGCCTATCGGAAACCGCAAGAAGTTTTGGGGCCTCTGTCACACCAGGAACAATCTTTTCCATTGACGTTCCAGTCTAAATAAAAAAATATGTTTTGTTATATTGTATGAATAATTTCTGAAAGAATTATTTTTAAATAAAATCACTTTTCTTAAAAAAAACTGTTAACATTTCCCAAATTATTTAGATTTTTAGGATTATAAAAAATTATTATGCATAATTTGTAATCGTTATTTATCTTTTTGTTTCTTTGAAAAATCAATATTTAGATTTAAAATAACTTTAAACACTGGTCAACTCTCTCGATTTTTATAGTAAAATATTATTCATCTGCTTATTTTCTATCGCGATATGAGGTATGTGTCGCACTTACATTTGTAATGCTAATTTGATCGTAACATTTTTAACAAAGTAGTAACTTCATTTTGCTAAAATTTTGTAAAGAAGTCTAAAATATGATGAAGATTGACATTAAAGTGCAGAAAAGTTGATACATTGTTGAATAATTATTATATACTATTTATAAATTATTAGAAAATAATATGCTTATAACCTCAAATTTTCTAACAATTTTTAAGTGTTTTAACATAATTGTTTAACAATATCTCAACAATTTCTCACTCCACTTCCTTTCTTACAATATTTTAGACATTTCCATAAAATTCAAGCTCAATTCATTTAATATTTTATGAGAAAAGTTATGGACAAAATTAACGTTTTAGTGACAGCATGAATTAGAGGTCACATTATGTTCTTAAAAAGATAACAAGAACTTATTTAGATACTAATTAATGTAATTTATGAGTACTCACAGGAAACAATTGTAGAATTTTGCCTTTCTCTTTTGCCTTTGTAAATAATTTGGGCAAATAATACAAGACATACATTGTTTGCCCGTCCACCGAAAGATTTTTGGCAGGAACTTTCAATATTTTTAACAGATTTGGTAGTAGCTCCACCCAATTGGACTGCATTTTCGGGACATCTAAATTTACTATTTCGCTGAATTCCAAAAGTAGCTGTTATTTTTAAAAATTAAAAATAGAATATTAGTTTGTTATATTTTTATTATTAATTGTATACGACATAAGTCGTCATAATTAAAATTAAATACACAAAGTGATGAAAATTATTTAAGTTTTACATTGTTTTGAAGGAAAAACAAAATAATAAGTAAATGATTTTGCTTTTACCACATTCTTATCCCGCAGTTCAGGGCACTTCAGTAATATTTCCTTCGTATCCACTTTTCTCGCTGCTGACAGCCTTGATCTTCGTGTCGCACGTAATTCGTCTGCTGTCATTCTCGATTTCGGTAATGCATTTGATGCATTTTTTTTTCCTTTTTTCGAGTAGCATTTAGCGTCCTTTTTTCTTGAACGATAGTATTTGCAGCAGAATTTCAAACGGTTGTGCGTCTGACTCTATATAATGCATGTAAATTATTGTTTAGATAAAAAGGTGAAAATATATCAAATTAGTATCTGCCCTGAGAGAAGGCATATCTTAACAATCAAGTATCAGTATTTTAAATAAACTGTGCAGTACTACAGTTTATTTAAAATACTGATACTGATACGCTTACAAATTTCTTTTGAAAATATATTAATCAAATAAAAAATTGGACTTACGTTTTTCTCGCCATACTCGCTCGCAAGTTGCAAGGGATATTTATCAGTCAGCAAAATTGACATTTCTAAAATTATTCCTGGTATATCCAAATTTTTTTCCATCAATTTTTCAGTAACTAATCTAATTATTACTGATATTTGAGAAGCTAACAGTTTCTTGTCTTCATCGATCAGTTCCTGTATTTCTGTGGGAAATTCCGGTATTAACGTGCTTAGATCAGTCTAAAATAATAAAATCAAAATTACCAAATAATTCAATTTAAATAAATATTATTACAATAAACAAAATTGCTTCTATATGAAGGTGCATTTCTATACGTTAACAAGTTTCTATTCTGCTTAGGCCTTAAAAGTGATAAAAAAATAATAAATAATTTCGAATTGACAAATAGTTGAATATGGCAACAAACGTCGAATGGTCAAAAAATTCAAAAAATAAAAAAATTGTATTGTCAAAGGTTAAATTGGAAGAAAAATTGAAAGGCAAAAACGTTGAAAAGTTAAAAAGTAGAATTTATTTTCAATTTATTTTCATTGTCAAATACACACGTTACAATGAAAATATGTGAAGAAACCAAAGAGAGAACATTGTAGAATTTCGATTTTTTTACCATTCGATACATTGTCAATTTGACTTTTTAACAATTCGACATTCTACCTTTCATTTCAACTTTTTTTCAGTTAATGTTATTTTAAATCGATTTTTTAACAATTCAACTTTGTTCAATTCGCCTTCTTGAAGATTTTTATTCATTTTAACCTTTATATAATTTTTATGAAGATTTGTGTCACAAATTCCTCCACATTCAAGTTTGACGTAATATGTAGATGAGCCATAAAAAAATATAGTTAATATTTTTTATTAAAACACGTTTTAAAAATTATAATTTTTATATATTAGTTTTGGAACATGAAATAAAATAAAATAATTTCTGTCAAAGCTAAAATTTTTCCATTTTTAATTTCCTATGTCTACAAAATTTTCAATGAAATACTTGAAAAAATTTCTGTTGATTATTCTTATGAAATTAAATTACTTTGTATTTACCGTTTCGTTTATTTCTATTTCTTCGCTTCCAGATTCTTGCAACACACTTCTATCGACCACATCCGATGAATCCTCGGATAATTGCAATGAATTTTCATTTTCACCAGAAGTATTTTGTGAAACATCTGAATTAGAATCATCATGAATTGAATCTACTGACAATTTTCGGTGTTTTGTAGGATAGCACCCACAATATCCACAAACGTTTTTAGTTGAATCCTGATTCCTCTCGAACTCTGGACACTCATTACACTCCGTACAAAAACCTCTTTTCACATTATATTTATCAATATTGTTCATTTTATTCTCGAAATACTTGCTGAATATGTAAACGCGTGGAAAAATGTCGTACTTTCAACTAGACCATCTGTGTAATTTAACAAAAATTAACAATAATATGCAGGGTTGGGCATGGGCGTTAAATAAAAACACTTTATATTTATTTGAATGGCCATGCCTTGCTGTGTCGTTTACCGACTTTATGCCCCATGTGAGTGCACCCTTAAGGCGCACTCACAACAGCTAGTAGGCAGCATACAAATTTGAATTTACTGTCTCTTTCACTCTAATTGACTTTCTCTCTTACTCCAATTACTGCCTGCGCAGGCAGGCAGAGCTGTGAGTGCTCCATTAAGGCGCCTGGAAAGGTGTAACCGTTTAATTTTTTGAATAACACTAGGTGACTCTGCAAATTACAATAAAATATTTTGGAGTCGGATAGCTAAGTTTGTCACTTTGTTTACATGTCATGTTCGAAATCCTTTTAAAGACTTTCTACTGTTGATATTTAATCATCATCGATTATTTAACGATAATAACGGATAACGGATTACAGGTAAATAAATTTATTTAAACTAATTTAAATACGTTTTTATTTATGTATAAAAATATAAACGTATTTCTAGCATATAAGTAATTGATTTGAAATATTTTTACAAAAAATAATAATTTGAAAAAATTTCGTTTACATTCATCATATTTGTATATATATGCATAGTTAAAAATTTGTATGAGTGATACAAACAAAATTTTTAGTTTAATCAAACATTTTAATGTTTTTTTAAATTTTTAAATGGGCAGTTATTTAAATTCTGGATCTTTTTTATTGCCTAAATTCATTAATTTTTTTTTATAAAAGTATTTATCTAATTTCATAAGTTTTGAACTTTTAAATGAACAAAAATTATATGTTGTGCTATTTCAAGCGAGATTTCAGTTTTTTCGGAGTAAGTAAACCAATTGAAATGAAATTAAGAACTTTTAATCTAAACACAAAAAGAAATATTTTCAACAAATATGACGTCAAAATATTCAGTAGTTTTTTAGATGTCAAAATTTTGGAAAAATTTTGAAATCGTTATATCTCCTTTCCATCTTAAGAGCGTTCGATGTTCTCTAAAATTTGTAGGTTATGTTCGACTTACTGCAGGGTGGCCACATGTCAGTAAAGTCAGGGAAATGTCAGTGAAACAAAATTTTTGTCAGTAAAGTCAGGTAAATGTCAGGGAAAAAATTTTTTGTCAGTAAAGTCAGGGAAATGTCAGGAAAAAAATTTTTGTCAGGGAAATTAAGAAAATTGAGAATTTTTTCGACTTATTTTCAAAAATTGCGACTTTTTCGACTTTTTTTCCAAACATTTCAAGTATTTATTTACAATTTTTAAAAATCAATTTTTGAAGAATTTTAATTGCAAATTTTGAAAATAATTGAAATATTAGCTTCTAATTTGTAAAAATTCAATGTTTTCAGTATTTTTAATTACATATTTCCAAAAATTCAAATACGTATAAAAATAATAACATTTTAGAATTATTTTTAACATTTTGGAGAATACAATCAAGCTCAAAATTTTTAATTAAAATTTAAAGAAAAATTAATTAGTTTTTTAAATTATACAAAATTTTTTTTAAGAAATTCAATTATTTTCGAAAAATTACATTAAAATATTTTTAAGAACTAATTATTAGAATTGTTTTATAATAATTTTTTAAGATTCAACTATCTTCGAACAATGTGAATAAAAATTTATGAAAATTTACTTTTTAGAGTTATTAAAATTTTTGAGAAATCATGGTCTTGTTTAAAATTAAAATTCTTCAAAAATTTGATCATTTTTATTTATATTTTTCAAAAATTCAATTATTTTAAAAAGATTTTACCCAATTTTAATTGTTTGTAAATTATTAAAAATTGGAAAACTATTATATTTATATAATTACAATTATTATAAAAAATTAAATTTTTGTATTTAAATAATTGAATTCTAGAAGAACTTTTGGGAAATTATTTAAATTAATTGATTCAGAGATGAAGTTTAGTTAAAAATTGTAAAAAATAATTGAATTCAGGAAGGGTTATAATTGTAATTTTTAGAAATTATTCAAATTCATAAATTTTACCCATTTTCCGTAAACATTCATATTTTCCTGTAAAAAGAATTTTGTCAGGGAAAGTAATTTTAATGTCAGTAAATTGTCAGGGAAATTGATAAACTGAAACTTGTGGCCACCCTGTACTGTTATCGCCCAAGAAAAACGGTACTGTCTGTTTGAAATGACGTGGGATTAGTAAACAACCGTTTTCGAACGAGTTTTTCTCTGCACACGTGCACTTTTTACAAAATATGACAACGTACATTTGTCACAAATGTTTTTAATTGTCTGAATTCAAAAGATTTTGTTAATCCATGCAGAAACGCGGTTGCAGGATTGGAAATACAAAAGTAATGTAATGGCAGGCCACAAGACGTATGTTACAGCCATTTTGTCAGTAGAGGGCAGAAGCATGCAGGGAGCGTAAAGGCTCAGCTGTCAAAATGATTCGCATTACATTGCCATGGTAATTCCAATGCTGCAACCGCGTTTCTGCATGGATTAACAAAATCTTTTGAATTCAGACAATTAAAAACATTTTTGACAAATGTACGTTGTCATATTTTGTAAAAAGTGCCGGTGAACAGAAAAAAATTTGTTACAAAATCAATGTTTACCAATTTCACGTCATTTAAATCGTTCAGTGCCGTATTTGTTGGGTGATAACTGTTTGTCGCACATTATCGAGAAATTTAATAGACCATCGAACACCGTTAACCAAAACACTTTACTCTTTTTTCTAAAAATTTAGCATAAAAAACGAAAATTTTTTTTTATATTATGTTTATAAAAAATTTTTATAAACAAAAAAGTTATAAAATAATAATTGAATAACTTTTGAGAACAAGCACGAATTACAAAAATATAAAAAATAAAATATAAAGATATTCTCATTACAAGAGGTTTCTTTTCGAAATATTATAGAATTTGTAGCGAAGATTTTTTTAGTGTTTGCCTCATTCAATTTCGTGTTTGTGCTCAAAAGTTATTCAATTATTATTTAATAAAATTTTTCTTCATGAAATTTTTTTTCGTTTTTATATGCCGAATTTTTTGGAAAAAAGTGAAGTTTTTATATTAAAGCAAAATTATTTGAATAAAAATGTAATAAGAAATAAATCAATTTCATTTATTTGAACGTTCGAAACTTAGGGTCGTAATTCCACATTCCATACAATGTTTTTTTCTGTAAAGAAATTCATTCTGAATGTATTGCAAAGTACATTTATTCACTTTACCTAAAATTAAACAATGAATAAATTAATATAAATGTCATTTTAAGAATTTCAAATTGAATAGCCTTTCTACTTAATTATTTTTGTTGACTATTATTAGCTTGTATTCTAATTATTTACATTATCATTTCCAGCTATGGACGAGGACTTTATTATTGAAGATCCTATTGATGATACTTCGGACGATGATGTGGAAGAAGATTCTGATTTTGAGGATGATTATGATGAAGATGATAATGTTCCTGATAACCCCGAGAAAGAAATTATAGGCGAATATCTTCTGTATTTGAGAAGTAGTACAAGAGCAACTAATGAAGACGTGACTAATATATTAAGGAAAATGGAAGTAGTTGTAAAGTGGTATCTTTCTCGTCATCTAAATAATATTAGAAATATTCTAGGAGAGACACACAATATAAATTTGAACGAGTACATAGACATAGACGAAATTATTAATAACATTGACTGCAGTCAAGGACTGAATAGCATTCATAACCAAAATAAATATTTTGAGGAAAAATTTAAAGTTGTATTGCCTGATAGAATTAGGCTGGGTGAGAAATTTGTCCCGTATGGTTCATCTTCAATATATGGGAATCAGCCATTAAAAATAAAGAAAGACGAATTTATTCACGTCCCTATTTCGAAGGTGCTGACTGCGTGGTTAGGAAACGGCTCATTTGGGAATATTTTATTTAATCCAAGAAGGAATGAGAATCAAGCCATTGAAACTTATATGGATGGAAGCTATTTCCAAAATCATTCCTATAAATTGCAAAAACCAAACTGTAAGTTTATAAAACTTTATTTTGACGAAGTAGATATGTGCGATGCCGTGGGGTCTAAATCATCTTCTACTAACAAATTAGGCATGTTCTATTGGATGGACGATGATATATCTTCTGAAAATAAGTCACAGTTAAAATTTATTAATTTAGCTGGAGTTGTATCCAACCCTCATATAAATGTGTATGGAATGAACGCCATTCTTCAGCATATTATCAATGACCTAAAGCAAATTCAAAATGGTATTCGATTGTCAAACGGTGACGTCATTTACGGAACATTATCAGTCTTAATTGGAGATAATCTTGGTGTTCATCAGTGTTGCGGTTTTCGAGAATCGTTCAGTGCACTTCATCCTTGTAGAATATGCAAGGCAAATATGACTCAAATAAAAACTATGTGCAGTGAAGATGCTACGATTCTACGAACAGCAGAAGAGCATGAACGTCGAGTTCAGGAAATTGAAGCTGCCGTTGGAGAGCAACAAAAAGCTGCTCTTCGAACACTATATGGCATTAACAGAAGAAGCGTGCTTAATGAAATTGAAAATTTTGATGTTACGCAATCCACCCCACCGGATTTAACTCACGACGATTTATTAGGAATTTGCATCATTACAACAAGATTGTTTCTGAAGGAAGTTTGCTGTACGTTAGAATTGATCACGCTTCATGACTTGAACCAAAGAATAGCAAATTATGACTATGGATATACCGAGAAATCTGCTAAACCTTCACCAATTACTGAGACACAATTGTTAGATGCTTCTAAAGGATTTAAGCAGACGGCTTCACAAATGTTACAGTTGGTGACAATGCTACCGTTAATTGTTTCTGATAGAGTTGTTCAAGGGTGGTCACCGTTGGAAAATTATTTAAAAATGTTGGAAATTATATTAATATCGCATGCTGACAAAATACCAATCTCTATTTTAGGTTACTTGGAATCTTGTATATCTGAATATCTTGAAACTTTTCAAACATGTTACAACAGAGATTTAATTCCAAAACAGCATTTCTTGGTTCATAG